CTGACCCAAAGAACCACCACAAAAGATGTAACTGGTGGGAGGCAACAGGAGAGAGACTGTGGGAATAGACATGGAGACATGAAGACAAAGGACTAGGGCTTCTCCAGAACCCAGCAGTGCACAGAACTTTGTTATACCTTCCATACTTCAAGCAGACCTCTAACCTCACTAACTCCTACGATTTCCTGGACCTGTAGCCTTTTTTGCATTATTTTTGTTTAAAATGTTGATCTTACTGCTTTAGTCAGCAATCACCTTCATTGCTTTCTTTCTCCACTTTAGGTGCAGATGGCTGTCTATGAAAAGTTACTCTTCACATGTTTACAAACACAGAGCCTGGGTGATTCAGACAATATCTGTTCTGCTTCCACTTAGGAGTCTGGCAAATGAAGGACACAAAATAAAATATTTTTTTTAAAATGGTGCCTAAATTTAAGAATAAAATCCATGTCTAAGCACTTAAGCACTTAAATATGTGGTCTGATTTAAAAAAAAAAACTGGAATCAAGAAAGCACCAGCAAGGCCAGCTGGGAGGTGATGACTTGGAGAATTCCATCCCTAATTTTGTTGTCTAAATAAGAATCCAGGAATAGGGCCCAGGATCTCATTTTGAACAAAATATTTGTATGTATGCTGCCTAGAGCTGGAAGGAATAAATTGGATCACTGATCTCCTCTGAACTGGGAAATCACTAGAATTTTTTTCAAAAGCACTGCTCATGTTATTGGGCATTCAGAAGATTGAATACGATGGTTGGGCATTGAAAAGACACAGGAAAGTCTGTTCTCATCCTCAACACATATGCTGGAACAGGGCACCAGGCCCTACTGCCTTGGCATAGAAGGCCCAGGTGTTATCAACCCAGATCCAGTGTAAGACACTGCTCCTTGCACTGACTCCAGCCACCCACCAGCCCCGTTTGGGGCTCATAGCCACAAAATTCACTGTTATGTAGTCAGCTGAAGCACCAAACTTCCTTTTTCTTCAGCAAAGTTCACACAAAAAAAAAGGTCTAAAGAAAAATCAGATGTCTCTTGTTAGGCTTCTCCATCCAATTCCAATGATGGTATCATGTATTGATTTGCTCTCAAATAACCACATCTACATCTCCACTGAGAAGATGGTTTGTATGTAGAAAAGCCTTGATTTTCTTTTAAACTACTCTGATAGTTGTAGCTGTTTCTTTCCTATGGCTATCAGGCTCAAAATTACCTGTATATGGGAGCTTCCCAAGAGGAGCAAATTATCTGAATTAGCTAAGGCTCCTTGCTAAGTCTGGGTGGTGCCTACACTTAACTAAATCAAATTTTACTTAAAAGCTTATTAGAGCTTTTGGCTCTATATAGACATCACATTTCTGGGAAGTTTTGATCAAAAAGCTTGGCATGACTACAATTACAATATTGTTACAAGGCACTAAATGGTATTGATATGCTTAAAACAGAAATTCTGTGTTCATTTTATACACAATTTATCCCAATTGCATAAATACCAAGGGTATTTATAGATTTATCAGAGTTTTCATCCTCTCCTTGAATCTTTCGAACATTCAAGCTTAGAATAAAGCCTAATAATAGCCAAGCAGCCCACAGAATAATCATTTAATTAAAAAAAGGAGTAACAACACTGATTTCAGAATTGAACAGACAACAGATATTGACTTTTAATAGATCTATAATAAATTTTTATGGTTTTCATTCTTTATTCTAACTTAAACAGAATAAACTGCAACAGCTGTCCAGGGAAAAGATACAGTTCTACTGGGTAGTTTTTATACTGCTGCCCACCTTGTGATCTATCCACATTTACATGGTTTTCCATGTTTAAATTGAAACAAACATTCTCAGATGGGCAGTGACAGCTATGAGTGTCATATCTGTATTTAATGGAATAAAAAAGACAAACCAACTTGTCAGACACACCATGGTGTCAAGCTCAATTACCTAAATAAACAGAGGCAATGGTTAATTTTACTTGCTGCTCACTATTTTTGAAACTGCTTCACTGTTGATTTTTGCAGTCTCTTCCTGGGAGGATTACATCTGCCTGGTTTAAAGTTTCACTTCCAAACATCATGTCCAAAATCTAAAAGCTTGCTACAGAAAAAAAAGTATAAATTTGGGAAAAGAGCCTTCCTTCTCTGGGGAAAATTAGCCTGGATCCTAAGAGGAATGTTATTTAAGCAAGCCCCATCTATGAGACAAGAAGTGCAAACAGGTTGTAGCCTGCCATGATGGAAGCCCACCAGAAACTTTCCATGTGAGCAGTCACTGTAAATGTGTCTTTCTCCACAGCCTTGAGGTAGATGCCTACATGCCACCCAAATGTCATGAGGAATCATAACATCAAGTTCACATTGAAAGCAGTTAAAATACACAAGGATGATGAGAGAAACATTTTTGCACCACAAATTTTTTAATTTATTTTAAACACAACCTAGCACCTATCGTTATTTTGGCAATGCAAAAGTGCAGCAGATGTTGTCACCTTATACAGGGTAGAGAGCTAGTGGACCTCTGCTCACTCACTCAAGCTGACAAGGCAGCTCGTTCTCCCTCCAGCCATCCCTTTGACTTGGATAAAGAAAGAGCCTCCCAGCTAGAACTATTTTTCTGAAGTGAGAAATATGCTGTTTCACACACACACACACACAAAAAGGCCCAGTGACTGAGACCCAAACTGCAATTGCCATGTCACCGTAACAATCTCCCCACTTCCAGGTCATTCAGCACAGATCACATCCAACCTCAGGCACTCTTTGCATTCAGCACAGATCACATCTAACCTCAAGCACCCACAAAGGGTTTGAGCAGACTCAGTGCAAAGCAAAAGCTTACACACTGGCCTTTAGGGGCACACCGGTCACTCAGTGCACTGAAGCCAATAGTGTGCAAAACCTCCACAGAGCCAGGATCACTCCAGCAACTGATCCATCTGTACACTCACCTCTACGCCAGTCCCAAATCAAAAACAGATCTTCTGCAAGATTCTCCAGCTGTGGAGATGCCAAGGGGAGAAAAGTAAAGCAGAGGACAGAACAGTCCTCTGTAGAAGCAAGATCCTGTGGGGAGACTCGGGGACTCATGGCAAATGCAGCCCTGGTGGCAGCTGGGCAGAGCTCAGGTGCTGCGCCGGGTCTGTGAGCACAGGGCCCTGGCTGTGCCAGGCCAGGCTCATTTAGTCCTTTGCACCATGACTGCTCAGCTCTGGGATGCTGAGTGCAGATGAATGGCATGTTCTCAGCAACATGCCAGTGGAAACTACTATGGCATTGGGCTGAACAGGCCTGTGTGCTTCTCCAGCCTTTCTTCCTTCCTGAGAAGCATTGAAAGGATTGCACTGCTTAGTACAGGGGACTTCCTCATCACAAAGCAAAATAAATTCACCTATGAAATGCACTGATAAAGGTTTCTCATTTCACATCCAGCAGCTGAAAAACAACTTTACCAGGTGATGTTGGTGGGGTTGATTTCTTTTTGTCTTTGGGGTTTTTTTCTGGGTTTTTTGTGTGGTAGGTTTCTTCTGTTCGTTTGGTTTGGCTTTTTGGTTTTTCTTTTTTGGCTGGTTGGGTTTTTGTTGTTTTGGTGGGGGGTTGGTGTTTTTTTCTTTTTTCTCTTTTTTTGGGGGCAGGGGTTGGGTTTTGTTGATGGGGGTTTATTTTCAGTTTATTTTTAAGAGGCAGACCCATTTACTCCTGGTAACTACTCTCTGGGTAGACTCAAGTAGTCTGTTGTACTACTGCAGACAGTAGTACAGCAGAGTACTTGCTGTAGTTAAGCCATAGTCCTGACCTTCTATTCATACACTGAACAAGTACTAAGCAGTATTTTGAGAAATACTAAGCCACATTAATTTTACAGACAAAACCACAGTCAAAAACTGTACTAATGCTCCTCTACTCTGACACCAACCTGAAGGAAGGTGGGTGTACTCCTTTCCTGCACAGAGGTATGTGCACATCACATAGCACTGTTTCACTAGAATCTCTATGGTTTAGATTATAATAGAGTTTTGAGTTTAGAGCTGAATACATGGAAGCTCTTAAATTACAAGAATTATTATTGCAAACCTGACTGCAGCTACAGTTGGTGTTCTTGGAAGATGAGAGTGCAAGTAACAAGAAGCTAACAAATTCATGCCAGTAAGTCAAGTTTAATTTGCTTTCTTTTTCCCCTCCCTTCTAAAGCTGGCTGAAATACAAGTTCCACTGTAAATGCAGTGACTAGCAAACATAGATGCCATTACAAATACAGCACTGCCAAGAGGAAGTGCTCCGTTGACTAATAACAGTTTCCAATAGCAACTGCAAGACATTCTGGGCACTGAACTGAAGAGATTTAGGGATATATTCTAAACAAGATGTGCTTTTTGCAACTACATAATATGAATTGTATAACATTTGGACAAAAGGTTTTGAAGACGTTATCAATAACTTGTTATCACAAAGGCAGAACTGGAGGTTTTGGTGGCTATCAGGTAACACTGAGCTCTCCCTCTGAAGCCTTTTACCAAAGTATGGTTGAGAAAATAAAGACACAGCCATTGTTACTCAGCCTGGCATTGCAAAGGTCCCAAGCTTTTGCTGTCAACTGAAACAATATGAAAACATGGCCTTTTATTTTGGAAAGAGGCTGAATGCTTGATAATATTTTTGTGTAGCATTTGTCACTGTCAGAGCACAATACAGAACTTAATGAAGTTCATTTGTTAATTAAGTAACCCATTCTCTGAAAACCTATTCTTTAATGCAACACAGCATCCGTAACATTACAAAATCATTTACTAGAACTGGAAAATTACTTTTTCAAAGATCATATTATATGACAGCTTCTCCTCTCAGCAAGCCCCTTCTTGCTGAGAGTGCACAGCATTGCAAGCAGTTACTGCCCCTGCAGAGGATTTTTAAACTTTATTTTTAAACTTTATTTTTAAATTTCACTATGAAAAATACTCTCAATTTCCATTGCTGCAATTCAGTAGTTTTGTCGGAGACTGCCCATGCATTTTCATTGGAGTCATTTATTTAACCTTTGAAGTAAACACAAATTTGCCTGAAATATTTACAAGGTTGACTTGTAAGCTCTACTATGTGGAAATCTTGCCAAAATACAAGCACAAATCAGAGTGCTAAATAGTAATTTCAAAGAGATGCTAAACAGTAATGAAAATGAGAAAGTACTAAGCAGCCAAATGACATGAAAATTGTCATCAAATAACTGAAAACAAGAAACAGAACAAATTTCCTTAAAGAGAAACTGATATACTAAATACCCAAGTCTGACATTGTTATATTAAAAGCTGCCTCTGAACAAAGCTTTCTATATAGCATATTTCAGCAGGAGGTGCCTGCTGCACAAAAAACTGCACTGCTGGTTTTTAATAGCTTGGAGGTAAAATGTTATACACTAAGTAATTTTTAATCTTCAGTACAACTTCCCACCATTTTAAATTTTAAAATGCAACCAAGTTATACAAGGTGTAGGCACAACAGAAAAAAATATTAATGAGGGCTTAAAACTCTAGATGGCACACTCATACAACCAAAGACTACAACAGAAATACACAGGACCAGGTATGATATGTTTTCACTATGATGTTTTCCACCCAAAGCATATATAATCTAACCACATATACTCTTCCAAGACCAGTTTGTGAATTATTATTATAAAAGGATGTGCACTATTTCCCCAAGTTGGAATTGGATGATTTAATATAACACTATGTAGTATCTGCAGTTTTGTATTTCAACAGCAGTGAATTAAGCTATTTTATGATTCCACATACAATTAATTCTCATGGCATGGCATCCATTCTGTCACACTCCAACCTACTTCATGGATAAGAGTCAGATCCTACATGCTTCTTGAAGGCCCAGTCTCAGGCAAAAAACATCTCAGTTATACACATTTACAAGTTTTGAAGGAATTTTTTGTTGCTGGTTTGTTTTTAAGAAGGAACTCAGCTGTGTTTTATTACATCAAGCCCAGGATAACAGGGTTTAATACACAGACTTTAACTTATCCATCTATATAGATTAGGCAGTATAAAATCTGAAAGTCTAATCATCTCGGATGGTTGTAGCAGCCATGAAAACAACATTGCAACACTGGTACTAGAATTTGCCAAGGGAACGCTGATGCTGTTATGCAATCCTCCTGAAGCTGCAGTAAATGAAATGATGGCTGTGCAACTGAATTGCCACAGTGCACATGTGAAAAACATCCAGAACGATCAGAGGTGCAAAATGCTTGAATGAGGGTGTTTGACTCATTGTCTGAGTAAATAAAGAAGTGTCTGAAGACAAACAGAACAGAGTTTTACAGTGTGCTAGATGCTTCATGCTGATGGTGTAACAAACACTATCTCTCAGTAAGTGCAAGGCAGCTGAACAAGCTCTCATGTCACCCCTTCAGCACAGTACCCCCTGCTCCATGTGGAGAAGCCACAGCAGGGGTGCCCATACCAGGGACACAGAACACAGACACCAGCACAGAGCCCCACATGAAATTCACCATGTGGAACACATGTACAAGAAAGGACACAGAGAAGGAAGAAAAAAAAAAGGGAATATGCATACAACAATCAGAGAATTACGTGGACATGGAAGCATTTGCCCAAAAAGGCACAGAGAAGAATGTCTTTGCCCTTAAGCCAGTACAACAGCACTTCTGAAGCAAAGTCCACGAGTAAGTTTTCTCCATTTCTACAGTACTAGATATGAACTCATTAAGAAAACTCTTAACAAACTTTCTTCTCTAATAATGTGTACTCATAATCACTCCTTGTATTTTTCAGAAAGTGTACCCTGGTAGCATGTTTTTACTCTTAAATGTGCAAATAAGAAAAATATTTAGCATATGTTATTAATCTACATATATAAATTTAAGTCACTGTATTTTCTTAATCATTTAACAATTTATTTCTACAAATTATGGCTTAGAAGCAGGTACTGTACATACAAAAATCTGAGGATACTGATGTGCAGCACGTCATTTCTTCGTGTTGTTTATGTGGATAAGTTATTCATTTCAGTGGGTATTCATCACATTTCTTATAGCAGCAATAAATAGGCATTTTACTTTTCATAAAATGTTATTTTATATAGCACGTAATCAATACAAAATTAACTTTTAACAGCACTAGAGTAACATAACCCACAGGTCATTACAGGTTGAGTGTGGTATTGGAAAATTTCATATTAGATCTCTGTGCCAAGCTAAGACTGAGTGATTTGCAGGGTCTCCAACATATCTTCCACTGCCTTCAAAGAGTATTTAGTTTCCTTCTTACTGCGACCTGCAAACTAAACAGAAAAGAAAGGATTGTTATTTGTCATATATCTGAAATTCTATGTCTAAATCCTGTGAAAATAACAGTTCTACACACCAAATACCAATGATTAACTCTATTTACTAAATGTTAAAAGCACAAAACTAAACCTCAGAATTTTTACCAGAATACAAGCTATATTACCTTCTTCCATGAAGTAAAGAAAAAATACTTTCTGTTAAAGTAAGACAGAAAAAAAATCTACTTATCAAAATTGACTATAAAATAATCCAGACAACATATAATTATATTTTATGGTTCAGAGTAACCATGATGGATGACATTGTACTTGACTGTAGCCTACAATCAAAACACCAATTTCAGAGAACATTTGAAATTAAGTCTGTCTTGATAAGGAAGAAAGACACAGCTTAACAAATACTACTAGTGGCTTTAAGAAGAATAGGGTAGAAGGACAGGGAATGCTGACCACCCCATATTGAATTCAAAAGGGTTTTTCTAATGATACTGACAATTGCCATCACTCATTAGCCATATCTAACAAAGGAGATTCATTGACCAGGTTGGTCATTAGTCAAATGAAACTCCTAACCATTTTTAATACACCTGCACTAAAAAGTTTTGCATTTCAGGTTGGGAGGGGTAGTAAAGAAATTACAGAAACAGTAACTAAAAGTTGCTTTTAGTAAAACAACCGATCCTCTACTTAAATGTTAACATCTAAACACTCAATAAATTTTCAATTTGAAGTTTTTTATTTCAAATACCACTGGTGTCTTGCATAGCTAGTCCTTGATTTATAATGTGTCCCTTCTCTCTTATAATTAACTTAATTTAGCAAACTCTTCATGACCTGTTAAGAAAGATTAAGTCATCAAACTCAGGTAATATCACACCAGTAACAAGCTGCAGGACCTGTTAACCTGCTTTTGACCCCTAGGCTACAATCTAGCATTGCAATTCCCAATCAGCATTGAGGTTTTTTAAAAAACAGTTTTGGCACAGTAAATAATAAGCTATCTCAAATCAAAGTTAGGGGAAATTTTGTTACTGTAACAACACTTTACAGCTTAGAGATGTACTGAAAACACTGCATTTTCATGGTTTATATTTCCAGGTCATTAACTGGTGTACCAGGTTTTGATTCTAGTAGTACATACAAACCCATTCTTCAGGGTGGGCAGTTTCCAAAGTGACATGCAATAGTCAACTTCAGAGGAAAATCCAAGATTTCTTAAGACACTCCAAGGTGAAAGCAGCAACTTATGCTTTTATCTGATTGAATAAAATATCCTCTCTTTGTCCACATTAAACAGACACTTGGAAATTCCAAATCCTTTCACAACAATAAGTAAGTTTAAAAAAAAAAGTCAAAAGTTTAAAGTGAAAAATTGTTTCAAACTCAAAGCATTCAGAAATTTCAATAAAAAGCACAGAAGCCTAAATATACTGCGGCCAAAAAGCACTTGGCAAGACATGCAGAAAGCATGCAGAGAAAAGCTTCAAAATAAAGAAATATTTTACTTATTCTTGACATGGACACTGGAAGCAAAATTGACATATGACATTGGTTTAAAAAAATGCTACTTGGTAATTTCAAGAGCAGTTGCCTTCATCATACTGACATGTAGTTTAAACTGAACAAATAAAACCAAACTCTACGGCATAACAACCAGAAGCACACTTGGAAATGTAATCACTTCGAATTTGCCCTGACGAACAATTATTTTGTCTATTCAGCCATTACACAGCAATTTGACTGATTGAGCTGGAATCCATTTCTTAAATCATGACTTAATTTTCTGTTTCCCAAATGGTTAGTAACAAAATCACCTCTCTCCAGCCATAAATAACATGTACATTGCTAACACAGAAAAGTTTAGCAATGTACCCAAGAAGCATGTATCTGGAAAATTACTGTGAGTAGGATCACATTAAAGATTTTTGTGAGCATTAATCAAACTTGCCTGCCTCTGCTGAAATGCTTCTACCAGAGGACATGCTAAACCAATTACCTAATTGAAGAGCACCAGGTAGCCTTATTTTGTTTTGGTGTTAAAGTAACTGTGACTCATGTCCTCAGAACAGACAGAAGTTCTTCTCAGGGTCTGCACATATGGAACGACCCTGTTTCCCAGTTGTAAGGCAAAAGTAAGCTTATAATAATAAAAATAAACTTAAAACAAATTCTTTGAATAAGGAGTACTTCACTAGCTTCTGAAATAAAAGATTAAAATTAAATTTTATTTGGGTCTTTTTTCCACCCAGTCAATTAAATTTAAGAAGCCTGGAGCATAATGACTTTTTTTTTTCAGAGGATGTGTTAGCAGCCAGGAATTCCAACTCCATACAGCAGCCCTAGTTACAAAACCTTTCTGTCTTCCTGAAGAAGTTTACATTTCTCCTAGATTAGACACAGATGAGAAGTACTAATCAGCATGGATGGTTACATATTTAACATCAAATTAAGTATATTAACTAGCTGGAGTGTCAAATATCTGTGCATTTCAGACAATTTTTTAACTATTCTTTATCACTGTGTTTTCCTGTAAAGACGGTGCTGCACAGTCTAACCAACATTGGGGAAGTAAGGTTTTCTTTCTATACTCAAACACTGCTTTCTTTAAATGGCAACAAACTAAGAGGTTCCTCTGATTTCCTAGAGAAATGCACAGGAAAAACAAAAATCAACTCCTAAAGCATACTGCTTGAATGACAGAATAAATTGAAAGAAGGGGACCAGTAAAAATATTTCAAGTAAATTGCATACAAAATAAATTTTTAATAATTAAATAATTAAAAAGCAACTATAGCCAGTCATTTGAAAAAAATAAAGGCAGTTCTCCAAAATTATTGAGCAAACTTCTGGTAACTCAAGTTCAAATCCAAGCTGGAAAGGGGGAAAGATCTCATTGCAAGACAATTGCTCAAAACTAATTTTTGCATTAATAATTGGAATTTAAAGTCACAAATTCAAATAATTTCTACAGATATCCAAATCAGGATTCTAAATTCATCTTGCTCTCTAGAACATGGCCACCAGAAAAATGTCATTTAGCAGTATGAGAATGTCCCACCAATAAAACAAGTCAATGTTAAGGCTTTTACTGCACTTCACAGGTGGATAATGCATGGAAAGTGGGGGGATTTATAGAGATCATATAAATATCCAGCTTAAAACCTGTCTAAGGCAGGAACACTGTAAGAGTTTCCCTTGGCACTAAGTGACCAAGGTTTCATCCTCAGGTCCAAATGGTGACAATTTCCAACTGCTCAGCTCACCAAGGGAGCAACAAATCAGCACTGACTCATTGGGTGACTGCCACCTACTGCATCACCTAACACCCCTGGCTGTAGCTGCTCGATGCCCTGAGTCTCTGGCACAGAGACTGGAGCAGCCAAAGGCTTCTGCAGCACTGTAACAACCCAGGGGGGTTGGCCTGGGGATGTCCTGCCCAGCTGTGCTCACTGGAGCTTCTTGTGGTGCTTCTGGGAAGGGGAATGGGGGTATTCACCCCATTTATTTGCCAAATCCTGGCTTGAGCTTCAGCATTTTCATTTTCTCGAGAGCTGAATTTCCCCTAAGATTCTCATCGCACACAGTGTTCTTCACTTTATATCCCAAACAGCTAACAAGAGCAGAAAAGGAGGCATATATAGTCCTGAACCCCCTGCACTTAAAAATGCCTCCAGCACCACACCTCTCCCAAAAAATTCATGTTTTATTAGAGATATTATGATGTTAACAGAAAGCCATGAGGACAGAAAAGAAGGAAAAAAACCCAAAAACCAAACAGGTGTGCTTATCTGGATGGGAATCAGTTAACTAGAGACTGTCACAATTCAACATCCATTATATTTAGAACCAGGAGATGCCTATTTCCAGGTCTTCTAGGCCATTCCATGGCCCTCACTAGTTTCAAATTTCCTCCCTGATGCACCCTGAAAGGGACTGTTTCCCAGAAGTGCTAACAAGTCTCTACCAGTACTTTGAACTCCAGTCACAATATTTACTTAAAACATATGCAAACCTACTCTAATCTAGTTGATTTTACTAAGATGTAAAACATGGAATACTGCTTTTCACTAAAAATTCACACATCTTTTAAAACCTGTTTTGTTCTGTCAATTATGAATCTATGGTGTATTCCATTCTTGAACGGTTTTTTGTAAGTGGTTGGTTGTTTTGGTTGGATTTGTGTTAGGGTTTGGTGGGTTTTTTTGTTTCTTTGGATTGCTTTGTTGTTGTTGTTTTCGTGGGGTATTTTGTTGTTGTTTTTGGGGGGTTTTGGAGTTTTTTTTGGTTTTAGTCCTGCAATACTTGAATTTTCCATCTGCACTGTGCTTACAGGAATGTCAGGCATACTTCAAGCCAAAAGAAGCCTTGGTTATTTATGAAACATCAGACAAGGTAGCTAATTCATACACACCTTACCATCATGAGCAGATAAATGGTTTATTACTGAAAAGCAGAGCGATTTAAAGAGCAGAAGAGAAATAAACCTTAGGCACATATTAAAACATGCTTCTGTATGTCCCCAGGGATACAATGCTCTTCACTGTGCAGTCAGAAGCTACAGGGCCAAGTAGGAGAAATGGAAAGTATCTCTAACTTGGAATATATCAAAATCAGCCACAAGAAGCTGCACGCTTGGCAAGGAACTGAAATACAGTTAAATATTAAGAAAACTGCACTGTCTGTAAAAGGAAAATCTAATTTAATTCCCTAATAGGTGCTGCTTGTAAAAAGGCCATTTGGTCGTATTAACTGTGAAACAGTAGCAAGAAGAAAAAAATTAAATATTGTGTTCCAATACTGAAATATTGCAGGGATTAAGAAGAGCTACTACATGTATACAGTCTTTGCATTTAATATCAATACATTTGCTCAACAAAAAAGTTCTGGGAAGAACTGGACTGTGTGATGTTGATGTCCAGGATTACTTATATATAAACTTTGACTGGCAGATCGTTAAGAATAGCTGTAAGGGAGTCAAATACACATAATATATTTGGGATACACAGACAGCAGAGTCTATGAGCTAAAACATGTTTTCACTCATAGTTATAGAAAGAAATAGAGGCTTATAACATGACAGGAAATATAAAAATTTACACATAACTTTTTGAAAAGTTGGAAAGACTCCCAATGACTTCAGCAAGCTTTGATTATGGCCTACAAAATCTACGTTTTCACAACTCAATGAGCACTTCTCTACAAAACTACACAAAACCAACTTCAGTCACAAATATTAAGGCAATTAAATATGATTTTGAAAGGTTAGAGTAAACTCAAGGAAAACAAAAATCCTAGAATTTTCATTTGTTTTCTAGTAAAGCAGAAGTAGATAACAAAGTTACTCTGACAATTAAGACATACCAAGTTTTACCAAAATAGCTGTAGAACCAAGTCTTGAAGGTCAATATTACAGTACTGTACATTCAGTTAATGCTAGTAGGAAAAATATGTTTAAAGTTATCAAGTAAATGATAGCAATTAGTAACTGTAAAATTATTAATTAAGGTTTCTGGGAAACCTTAACCTTTTATTAATTAAGGTTTCCAGAAAATCAAACAGCATAGAATGTAAAAAAAATCCAAGCAGATTATGCTGATTTACAAGCCATATATAACTAACTCTTGAAAAGCAGCTGATACAAGTACAGAAAAGAACTATAGAGCAAGTTAAGAGTATCATAAAGCAATGAAGTACTAACCTGGTATGCTCTGTTTATTTGGTTTGCTGCCCAGCTGGCATATTTCATATTATCTTTTTTCATTTTTGCACTTGCTTTTGGATTGGAAGCAATATGACTGGCAGACTAGGAATACAACAAAATAAAAACAAAACCCAGTGTAATTATAAAATTTATGTGCATGAAATAAGCTGAGAACACTGAGCATCCTTACAGTCCAAGCCCCATGCACAGTGATAATGGAAAAAGACAAAAAATATTTAAAAGTTACCAGCAAGCAGCATCCAGATAGAATTTGCTAGACTTTTTAAACTATTGTTTGCTCTATTTAAAGCTACATTAGACTTCAGTTCAGTTCTGTACTGAGTTAAGAACCAAACCTGGACATGATCAGCTAATCCAATTTGCTTCTCCTAAAGTGAGAGTTATGAATTAGTTTTCCACATCCAATTTTTTACCAGAGACAATATAAAATACATTACTTTTATGTCCAAGCCGCCATTAAAAACATGACATTTTCCCTGTAGCATCAGAAAACACATTTTAAAAGCAGATAAGACTCTAGATAAAATATGCTCACCCTCACCTGAAAGAATAAAAAATATTACTTAGGAATCAAACAAAGTTTTTTACTTATATAAATAAATCCACTGTGCAAGGAATCACTGCTACTGTGCTGGTGTTTTTCAGCAATTCATCATCTTCTAGAGAGGATGTACGACTTTAAATCCTTTTTCAAGTTACCTTCCCATGCCAATAACAATAATTCTTTTGAAAATACAGGCAAGACTTAAAGGTGAAGAGCACTTCAGTAAGGAGTAATTACTAGCACAAAATTATCCATACTCCAACGGTATGAAAAATACCCCATATTTTAAAACAGTGCTAATAATCTGAGCTATTAAGTTAAAAATCAGGGGGAAAACAGCAAATGGCAAAGGATAATATGCATGCATAAACATATTCAGAATGATAACATGGAAAATACATAATTATGCTTACCATGTAAAGTCCAAATAGAGCTCTCATATTTCTGTTGTTAAGCTTCAGTGCTTGTGCAAAATACTTTCTTGACAGCTCAAGGTTTTCAAGCCCCCCCTGAGTGTATTTAACCTGTAAAAATGGTAAATGCCTGAAACTTGCATGCCATTCATACCTCAGGCAATCACTTTGGAGCAATGATATTACAAAAATTCACTCCAAGTTTGTTTCACATGACATTTCAAATCAGGTGAGTCCTATCAAAGGCCAAATACTGGCCTGGGAGAAATCCAAGTTCTTCACAATGTATACATTTAAAAATATTTAACTATAAGAGAAAAAAACCCCAGCATTAATTTCATTAATGCATTGCTACAAGATTTTTCACCTATAAATACCTGAAAGCTTGGGACTGTGTCTTATGAAAAGTAACACAAACTTTAAATCCTAATTCTGACTACTAGAAATCCATACTGACACTATTCTCCCACAGCATGCATGGAAACAGTTCACAAAACAACACAATGCCTTTCATTATGTATTCAAAATAGCACACAAAGTTTAGAGGATTACTCCATTGTTTTTCTATTAATTTTTCCAGATATTAGATCAACAAAAAGAGGTATAAATACTAGAAGATATGCTTCGAAGTCTTTCTATGAGAAAGCTACTTAGGCTTTCAAGTTTTAATGTCAATCGAATTCTACCCATGTTAACTAAACAAATTAAATCTATTCTAAGCAGTTAACAGTATCGTTTAGGGGAAAAAATAATCTGGAAAGAAAATGAAAATTCAAATGGTTAAAATCTTGAGTTAAAACTTCTAACTTTACCTCTAGCTTTTACCTCTCTTCCACTAGAGCTCCTTCAGGCAGAATTTAGTATGTGGATTCCAAGATCTGAGTCCACAGCAACAGGCAATGTATCATAACCTCCTAGGCAGCATTGTTGTAGAAAAGTTTAGCTTCTCAAGCACTTTTTTGAAAAGTGCATAAAAACTTCAGTAAGAAGAGTTCATTTAAAATTAGCTTTTATCTTGAATAATTCTTCCCCTGTTATATTTAGCTTAGTCACACTGTGACTGAGTCACTGAGTATGAAAACAGAGTTTTCAGAACATGTTCAGTTCTACGAGACGTTAGCATTCTCTGTGAACTCTTAAAATCTCCTAGGGAAAAATTAAAGAAACCATTTTCACCACTTCTCTAACATAAAACCAGAAATTGTAATCAGAAGTAATTGATTTTTCTGAAATACCTACTTCAGCATATTGTTGACAATATAAGTGGTTGTGTGGATTAGTCATCATAAGCTCCTCTAAGCAGAAGGCTGCCTTTGCATAGCTGTGGAATACCAAAAACAGTGATAAAATGAGACACGAGTACACAGCTCTTTGCTTCAGTTTTTTTACAGCACAATACAAGTCTTACTTTTCCCCCCATAAAATCACATGACTCACAATTAATTAAAATGCTTCATTTAAAAATAAAGTTTAGAACCAAGTTGGTTTTTTTAATATCATAGACAGGGGGGAAATACACAAAATCTAATGGTCTAGGTATAACTGGAACAGCTCATGAAAAACATTTAATATATACATCTCTTATTAATAAGTGCTGTTTCTTATCAGCATTAGTGATGAGTAGAAACAGGTATTAGGTATTTTAAGACACTGAACTGAAACTACAAAATAATTCCTTTTTTTCCTAAGAAAATTCAACTACCGGAGGATTCATAAATGCAGCTACTGATCACAGCATTTACACTGTCAATTAACTTTACCTGCCAACAGGTAACCATAGAATTGAGACAAAAAAAACCACACTAAGAACAGTTCTAAAATTCAAACACTCCAAATCTATGTATGAAAATAGCATTGAACCTCTCCAAATGGGCAAATCCTTATAATTTGAGAAGGCTAGTCCTTGAGTTTCTTAGTGAAAATTTTCAGAAATAATTAGGAAGTCAAGCTCAAAATGCAGGTTTATTGTGAAGAATCTTAATTTTGTAATCTTTCAAATAGAACTGTCTGCAGAATTTGCATCATTTAGTGATATGTGATAGCACTATTACTCAGTTTATGCCATAGGATTCCAAAATTCAGAGATACAAGGTTTATAATGACAGTGTGGGTAGATATTTAATATTGCAGTAAAAGCAATTTAGCAATTATGAGACCATATTAAGCCATATTATCTGTAAAATCTTGTATCCTAAAATAAATATGTTGTGGTTTTCTCCAGTGCATGTTATGATTGTCATGTATCTGTATAATTTATGAATCTGGAGATAAAAGGGCAGCCACCTCATTCTCCAAAAGCAGGAGCCAGAGTCCTCACTGCAGAACAGGGTAGAACTGAGGACTGTGTAAACCTTGTACATCTACTTGTATTTATGAACAAAAATGAGAGCATGGTGATTTCACAAGCTCTGTGACTTGTGACCCTGATAAAACATATAAAATGAGGAACTGCCTTCTTTTTTAAAACTTAACTTTTAGTTGCTTTTAGCCAAGAGCCTGATTTTTCCCTATTACCAAATAATAATAATGATGCTTATGGAAGTATAGTGAGGACAATGAATTCTTTCCATGAACTGAAGTTCTACATATTGCTTTTTATTGGAATTACAGACCAAAACAAATACAAGCAAAAGCAATTTCTTTCTTGGGTTTTATTGCACAATTTCATAATAAAGATTATAGCAAAAAAACCCAACCCAATAATGGAATACGTATGTTTGAACCACTCTATCATTCACTTTCGTACTGACAGATTTGACAAGCTTAAATATCTTTCCAGCCAATTTTTTTTTTAATAGCTATTTTCTTGGAAAAGTGGCTGGTAGATTTCCCCAAACAAATGGAAGTGTGGGTATCAAAATTCTAGTTTATTCCTGAAGTCATCATTTAAAATAGTTTAATAACTATTTTCTTAGAGAATGGGGTGCAAGGAGAGGTGATTGAGGAACAATTTTTCCCTCAGGGTGAGAATGGCTATTTCTTCCTTGACAATTTGATTCCTTTACTACCCTCTTAAAAGGAAAGAAGGAAACAATTGTGATATAATTCAGGCTGGCCTGAAGAACCAAAGAAAAAGGGGAAAAAAAAAGATACGCCTTTTGGTGGAGGTTTGAATTAATGCTGTGATATTAGAAAACTTGCACTAAGGCTTTGGAGCTAATCCTCTCACACTGGGATTTCCTCCTGTCACTACAGCAATAAAAAAAGCTAACAAAAACATTAAATATCCAATAAGCAAGTTACTACAACATTCAGCATTCTTGATCGCACTGGGTTTTGCACCCAGGCGACCAGATGCCTCCAACTCTGGATCCATGTTTTGCTTTGTTGGCTTTTTTTAAGAGGTTACTAAAAGTTCTGGGAGAGGTAGGCTAAAAGAAAATTGGAATATTGGTTGCTGGGATCAATTGATTATAGAAGTAGAGAATTTAACATCTCTAACAAGTAAAATACATAACATGAACAAAAAATGATGGGATATATCTGCTTTTCACTGCTGCACTCAAACCACTTCTTTTAAATATCAGATTTTTAAGAACTACTGAAACATAACAGGTAATTAAGTAAACTCCTTTTGTTTGACAAACAAATGCCTTTTAAAAGTATTTGGTAGCCAAATAAGCTTGGTAATTATTTCCAGTTGAGGCCTAGTATATTGGAAATGAGACAACATACTTTGTAACATTAGTCCTTAAAAAAAAATCACTGTGGTTTTTGACTTACACAGACTGGGTTTCAAATTAACATTTTTTATGCAGACTTAGCAAACAACTTACTCATGTTCATTGATGTAAAGTTCTGCAAGTTCATGCCAAGCTTCTTGGTCACCAACAAATCTGTATAGAGGATACAAGAGAGGGAAAAAGGAAAAAAAGAAAGAATGTGCAAGGGATTCTGTAAATGACTAGCACTGAAGCAAAAGCGTAAATTAAATGCAAATTCCACTTTAATTAAAAAGATTTATCAGAATAGCAAAACACAATCGTATTCTTGTAAGAGACACTCACTGTTCCAGATACTCATTCAGCTCTCGGATGGCCTCGAGATTTTTCCCCTGGGCTTTTCGAATGGCAATCTTACGCTTTCTTGCTGCCTATGGGTTGACATTAATAAAGGATTAGGCCTCATAATTCCCTGGGTTTTTGTAAGGAAAGCAATTTGACTGTGCAAATTATTATCTCAATACCAGTGGAATTCCACTGCAGAGACACTGCTAGGTTGAGGTTTATAAACATACCCTATCACATCCCACTGAGAGACTGAAAACCTCTTCTTACAATCACATTATGTATGCTTTTCTTTGGAGGCACAAACTGTACGCGTTATTTCATTCAAATAAATGACTGTCCAGATTCTGATAATTACAAAACAGCAGGGGATGCTAATCTTCAACCATTCCAACTACCCCCACCTTGTCATTCACAAGATCTATGACTGTAGAGAAGAAACGGTGACTGAGTCCTAGAGAATGCCACAGATGCATCTTGGTTGTCCCTGTGTAAGTGTGGCTTTCAGCCACTATAAAATATTCCTGTTGAAGTGCTGAATGGCACCTTTAACTAATGCTAAATACACACCAATTCCCTAAACAAGTCTCTCATCATTCTTGGAGCACAAAGTAGGCTCTGCAATTTAAAGGGAATACAAAACCTCTATTTCAATGCCAAAAACTGAGCAGTACTTTCATATGTGGATAGAAAACATAATTCAACTTAAATAACATAAAAATGAGTTATAAGAATTTTAATATATTTAAATTTTGAAGTCCATAAAAGTCAGAGACCAGAAGGAGGAAAGATATAGAGGATTGTAATAGCTGATTATACTGTACTTTAATCCAATATTCCAGCTTCTGAATGATGCTGGTTACAGTTTTCAGGACTCACAAGAATCTTATTGAGTCCAGCTCTTAAGAGAATGGTCCTTACAGAGATTGAACCTGTGACCTTGATGTTACCAGGACCATGCTCAAACCAACTGAATACCAACATACACCTGAGGTGTGATTCAAAACAAAGGAGTCTTCCCACCTGGGAGCAAACAGTACACCTCAGCCAGCCTGAAAGTCATCAGATCAGAAATCTGACCAAATGGGAGGAAAACACAATTCCAGCAGAACATAACTCAAAAAAGGAATGCCATCAGCCTCCTTCCTTGCCTCTAATCCCCGTGCTCTTGGGTGACCACAACTACTGTGGTCAGACGTGAGACAACACAGTCTGGTGTCCGTGATGTCAACATGCACACACACCCTCTTGTTTGTCATTTCTCCATGAGATAATATTAATGACAAAAAATATGAAGCACACTTCTCTAGTAATTGAATCCCACTGTTTATCCCCTTCATAGCTCTCATTCTATTTCATATCTTCTAAAGAGTTTATATAGTCGGGTATCATCTCTCAGAAGCCTTGATAGGACAGCTCTTCAACAAAACATTGAACAATTTTAATATTTCAATTTCAGATAGCTCTGAAATAACCTTCTTCATGATGTACCCTAAGTTCACAGTCACATATACCCTACATAAGTTCTTGTATATTTACAGCATTTTAAACATAACTACTCTCCTAAATAATTTTTTATCCTTTAATCCATTATGAGCAAATCAATTACTTCCAAGAGTGGTAAATTAGTTCAAGCACCAAAACAGAAAAGCTAAAAATGCTTTTGACATTTAATTAATTTCCTTTTAATTCATTCCCTTTATCTCCCTCACAAATAAGTATTCAATGGAAATTCAGAGAAAACAACTCAAGTGAGGAAAAAAATATCTCACCCTTCTGACTAAATGTAAGACACAGACAGAGAGAAGACTAATCAGAGGCCAAATTAGAACACAACAAGTGTGGTTTCCACTGCTCCTTTGTCAAACTGCAACCTGTGAAGTTACATACATCATTCTACTTTTACTGGGAGACATCTGGCTAAAAGCCATAACAGGAAATTTTAACTGCTGACACATTTATTACTGTAACAATAACACACTCTCTATTTCATTTTTGCTTTTCTAAAAATAAAGATAACAGCGTAATTAAACTTATTTTCTTTAAATTCAAAAAGAATAATCCCACATGTTTATCATGCTGCTATAACAAGCAAAACAAAATAACACCACAAAATAACAACCAAAAAAACCTCAACCAAACCATTGTTTGCTGTCACATTTTATGGAGTTCTCAAAGCAATTGTTAAAGCAGGTCACCCCCTTCTATGGTGAGAACACCAGGGCAGTGTTAACCCACTACCCAAAGCTGACATTATACACAGCCCACTGAGCCTGAAACATGAAAAGAGGAAAAGTGGGGATAACAATGTACACAGCCAAAGGAATGCATCAAGTAATTACAGCCTAGGAAGACAGAAGGGTTTTAGCAGGTAACAGACTATTGACTTTATAAATGTAGCTTTTTAAATGTAGCTCTTGGATTAACAACGCAGTTATTTTCAAAATTTAAAGAAATCAAGGGCCTGATTAAAGTAAACCCTTGAGAACTAAAATAATCTATTAAATACATAAAATCAATCAATGCATATGAAAACTTAATTTGCAATGGCAAACAGGAACAGTCTACATAAGTCACTCTCTGTTTCTAATGCAACTTCTTCAACTGCATCCAAGTCAGTCCTCCAAGAGAGTCTGGAAACAGATTTTTTTCCATAGCTGCTTTATTTCTTAACCACTGCACTCACAAGTAACATAAATCACAGGAGCCTCAAGACATTAATTTATGAAAAGCTACAACTATTTCTAGTCACAAATACAAGCTGATGTTTACCTATAGCAAGCATGTAATCTAATGCAATCAAATCACAAGAACAAAAGCATCAGACACAATTAACATATTCTGGCGATAGCACTTAGGAATTAAATGAGTTACATTCACATCTGACAGAATCTCCCTGCTGCACCAAATCCTAAGAAATTTATTCAAAATTACACTTTTACAACTTTTTTGTCGACCTTCCTCATCACCAAAAATATAGCAACATCTGGGCTTGAAATCTGCACTCTCTTCACCCTCAAAATGCTGGGAGATAAGTTTATTTACATAGAACTCCAAGTTTACAAAAGAGAGGCTCAGCCACTCAAAACAGTGCTAACATCCTGAGGAAGAACAAAATATTGTCTAGTAGCACATAACTTCTGAAAGTCTTTTTAAAAGCACTGGAAAGAATTCAGTGAGGATGCAGAGTTTTTTTTAATGCAGATTCCAACTTTTTCCATTACATGACTAAAGTCATAAAGCCAAGAGATACACAAAGAGGTTTTCAGTGATTCACAGGATTGATATGACAGGTGAAAAAATGAAGACATGAAAACAAACTACTGTTGCTTTTAATGGTATTCACAAACGACTTTTTTGTCTGAGTTCCTATTCCTAGTTTCTTTCAAACATGAAGTCTATCAGTTTTTAAATAAAAATAAAATTGAATAATTCCAGAAGTCAGTACATTTAGAAAAAGATATACAAAAAGGCCTGCATTACCAACAAAACATGGACCACAGTTTGTGTGCTGTAAACTTCTAATTCTTGTTCTCATGTATATTGCTCCTGAGCTCACTGTGTGAGTCAGCTTAAGTGCTGCTCTGTGAGCTGGAGCTCACACAGTTTCCTGAGAATCCTGAGGACAACTGCATAACTAATGGCAATTTACACTCATAACATCAATTTTTATTAATGCCCATAAAAATTAAACAAAATGCTTTACTGCACAGAACCACTGCCAACACTAATAACCACTTCAGCATACAAAAATAGTTATTTGTTAAGTAAAGCCAGACTCACACCAATTCTTCAGAAGCTTTACCTAACATTTATACCATATTTCCTATTTATTACCTGCCTTACAACCAGCTGATAAAAGAAAACCAGGCAATTTCATATTCCACTATGTTAAAGGCCCTCTTTACCAAAAACCTCACATCTCAAAGCACAAACTTATTTTTAGGGGGCCTATTGGAAGATACTAAAAAACTACAAAATTGAGAGTACAAATTTGTTCAATTATTAATTTCAAGTCCACCAAGAATATTATTGCGAAATTATTTTTTAAATACAGGGACCTGAAATTATTTTGAAGTCTAAGAAGCCTACTAAAATAGTCACAAACAATTACATTGATAAAAATTTAAAAAATAGCATTCAAGGGGTCCATTTCAGTTTTTCACATCACAACAGTAAGACCTCCTAGAACAAGCCTCAACTAAATTAACTCAATCTTCTTTCTCCTTCCAACCTAAGTAAAAAGGAAAAGGCAAAACCTCCAGTGCTGTAACAAGATCTGCAGAATTTGACCACGCAGATACTATGACACAGATTTCCCCCTCAATTTTCCAGAGTTTAAAGAAAAATACTAGAATGGTTATTGGCTAATTCTGTAAATCCATAATTCTTTATGGAAAGATATATGCATCTTAAAGAAATACTTAAAGAATCAATATCATATGGAGTAAGCTGCTTCAGTATGTACAAATTTATTTAAGGAGTGAACCTTTCTAAGGTATTTCTTTTAAAGACTAGTAATCCCCAATCTGGCATAAGAACTAATCCTCCATTTGTCATGATTCTTTTTAATTAGCATTAAGTAGACTGGAAGTGAGGACTTGAACATTTATGAACTTCTGCATTTCATTAGTAAAACATACCAAGAGAGACTCTAACATTGTTCTAAATTTCATGGCTCTAAAGATAGTATTAGTAGGAGAATACTACTAATATTGAGACCCCTAGGAAAGAATTTCTGTATAACTACTACATGATTTAACACACGATACTTTTCACCTTAAAAAGAATTTTTTCTTTTCTTTTAACATTTTAGAAAATGTGTATTTGGTCTAAGAATTTGATCCACTGAAACAGTTTGCTTCAAATTGTAATATGCAAATCAAAACAGATGTGTAAACAGCTTCAACTGAGATACAGGGAAAAAATTACAAAGATGTCAAAAAAGCACATTATCAAAACCAGCACATAATCAAAAACAACCACAATAACAAATTTATTCCTACCAGAATCCAGACTTTTTTCAAAGTTAGTCATGCAAGACAGTTAAATCTTGCAAACCTTTGCAGGCACAGAGCTACTGGGT